TCATTAAAGTGGTTCCTGTGGGGATCTTCTTCATAAGGATCATTTGGGGTTGAATTCTCAGAAAATCATTTGAGTGTCTGATTTGGGCCAAGTCTTAAACTGTCTTCCTCTCAGATATGAAAATTCATTTTCTCTAAATGTCTTGAAATTTGGGGTGCCTGGGTGGCTCAGTCAGTTAAGTGTCCAACTTTAGCTCAGATCATGATCTCCTGGTCCAGAAGTTCAAGCCCCACATCTGGCTCTGTGCTGACAGCTTGGAGCCTGGAGCCTGCTTCTGATTCTGTGTCTCCACCTCTCTCTGCCCCTCCCCTGCTCACACTTTCTCTCTCTCTCAAAATTAAACATTAAAAAAATGGGGGGGGGGCACGCCTGGGTGGCTCGGTCGGTTAAGCATCTGACCTCGGCTCAGGTCATGATCTCACAGTTCATGAATTCGAGCCCCACATCAGGCTCTGTGCTGACAGCTCAGAGCCTGATGCCTGTTTTGGATTCTGTGTCTCCCTCTTTCTCTGTTCCTCCCCCACTCGCACTCTGTCTCTCTCTCTCTCTGTCTCAAAAATAAATAAAGATTTAAAAAATTTTTTTAAATTTTTTTAAATCAAACATTTAAAAATAAATAAGTAAAAAATAAATAAACGTCTTGAATTTTGCCTTCCTAAAGTACAACATAATGTTCAATTTACCCCAATCTAAACTCTTAAGGTACTTAGGATCTGTATAATTTATCATAGCTCTGAATTACATAATCGTCTATATTTTACACTGTTTCAAATACTATCTTGTCCCCTTAATTACAGTCAATTATAGTGCCCTGCAGTTTAAGGGCAAGGACCCCGTTTTAGACATTTATGGGCCTTTGGTGCATGGCATGGTCCTAGACACAAAATGAATATAACCAACAACCTGACAATGTTTTATCTTGAACCCTTCAGACTTTAATTACACCATGAGACTATGAAACCAAATAAAGGAAACCTCGTTTAAAATGGAGCTAGGAGGCCAGAAGGGGGAGCTCTCATGGTGTACGTTTATTGCAGCCCTTTGAATACTCAACAGGAAGAAGCTTATGCCTCACCACCACCCTAGATGAAGGAAGATTTTTCTCCTTGCCCAGCAACAGCCCAGCCAATGAGAGACTGTCACAACTCAGCCACTAAAAAGCCACTACACTTTGAGCTCCCAGTTTAATGGACTTTTTGTTTATAACAGCCCCTCCCAATTCCCCTTTTTCCTCTATAAAAGAGTGCTCCTCTGTTTTCTGGACTTACCTATGGTTCACCATAGCTTGCTTGTCCCAATTGCTGTCCTGCTTGCAACTGCTCTCCTACTCCTGAATAAACCCACTTTGCTGGCAAAATAACTGGCTGTTTTATTTTCAGGGTTGACAAGAGCACAGAAATTCAGAATTGGGAAAGACCCTAGAACTTGTCATGTAGTCCAACTCCCCCACCAAGGCAAGAATTCCCTATGGATGGCCATCCAGCCTCTGAACACTCCCAGGGTTGGAGAAGTCACCAGTATGCAGAGTTTATTACACTACAGGATGGCTCTCTCTACCCATCTGCCACCCTTTATGAGAAAGATACATTATCAAATTACACTGCAGAGAGACAGAGAGCAAGTCCTGCAAACTGTCCCCTGCCAACTTTGTGCCCACCCCACTGTAAAGGAAGTCCCAAGGTCAAGGTGCCTCTCCAAATCCTGCCCAACCTGACCCACCCCAACTTACCTGCTTGGAATCTTAGACAAATTATGTTACTTTAAGTCTCAGGTTCTTCACCTGTAAATAGGGTAATTATTCTAACCTCATAGGTTGTGTGGAGGTTAAATAAAATAATGCATGTAAACACTGTCTGGCCTATAGCAAGTACTCACTAAATATGAGCTAGTGCGACTGGAGGGTAATAGCAGATACTGTCCTTACTGGAATAAGGCAGTCTAGCCAGAAAAGTCACCATGGTTGAGGGAAACCTGGAGCAGTGGTTTTAAGGAAGAAATGAGGGAGTTCAGAGAATAAGACAGCATCTGGGAAGGAGCTTTGGATAGAAAAATGAGATTGCAGCTGAACTGGAAAGCATAAATTTAAATGTTAGCAAGCAGTGGGGGAGGAGGGATGGTAACAGGACCACCTAGTTAAATGCACAATCTGATTCAGAAGGGAAATGGGAGTCAATCTAGGATTATGCAAAGTAGAATAATGGATCACAGCAACAGGACTCAAAAAAGAGAAATCCTCCTGCCATGGGAAGGTTAGACTGGAAGCAAAAGAGCAGACCAGGAGACAGTGGCTGGTTCAGTTGTGGAGGACTAATCTTAGATATTTGGGATCTCTCAGATCTACTACCTATTTTTTTAAATAGTTTTTGTTTTGCTTTGTCTTATTCTGGGCTACCAGCTGGCATATGTTGCTGCCACCAAGATCGCTGGTCTATAGAACCCCTACACTGCCTATTCTAAACAGTTGTTTTCAAAGCTGTAATGGGCCAAAACCCAAATAACCAACCTTCATTCATCATTCTTTCACTCATTCATTAATTCATGAATACATATATCCATCAAATAGTCACACCAACCACTGATTTGTCTAAGCTCTGGAATATGCCTTTGAAATGAATAAAAAGTAGTCATTGCTTCTGAAGGGTTTATAGACTTCTGGGATAACGGATTCACAAATAACTCTTATACTAGACAGATTCTAAGTACCACAAGAGAGGAATGAACAAAATCTATGCCTGGGGTTGAAAACTGGGAGCAAATCAGGCTGTATTTGGCCAGCAACTGTTTTGTTTGGCTCACATGGTGTTTTATTTCAGTTTTTTTAAATTAGTTGCCAACACTTAAAAATTAGGGCATTTCACATAAAATCCATAGCTTCTGGTGGAAACAGGAAGATCTGAGCACTCGAGGCCAAATTCCTGCAGGGGAGTAATTGGCAGGAGCTGAGCAGCAGCTGCCCCTTTTAGGCAGAGCATGAGATCTCTAGTTTGCCACACTCCTTGCCATTCCCTCTTACTCCCTGACCTCAAAGCCAAATGTTCAGTTGCTAGTTTTCAGCAGCTTTATAAGAAAAAAGTAAAAAGAATTTTTTAAGCTCAATTTTCTATTAAAAGAAGTGAAAGATATACTGCGAAGGCTATCTGTTTCAAGAGAAATGGGGTGTAGAAAAGGGGTGCAGAATACTCCTAAGACAGACAGGCAATTCTGTGAGTTGAAGATGCAAATAAACACCTCCCATGATACTGCCTGCCTGACTCCTGCAGGCATTTGAGTTTGCAGCCTCTGTAACATGAAGAAAAATTAATGTAGTAGCTAACAAACAGCACTGGCTCTGGGGTGAGGAAAAAAGCTGGCTCCACCACTCATTCACTGTGTGACCTTGGCAAATTAATGACCCTCTCTGTGCTTCAGTTTCATGTAAAACAGAGGTAATTACAGTACCTACCTCAGAGGGCTGTTGTGAAATGACTGAGATAAAAGACATAATTCTCAGCCAGTGCCTGGCACATAGTAAGCATTAGCTATTACTAGTGCAGAATACAGAAGAGGGAGAAAGCATCTCTGAAGGGAGCCTTACAGAATGTTTCGAATTTCAGTGTGAGGAAATGAGAAAAGAAGGCATGCTAGCTTCACACAGAAGAGACTAAGCAAAGACAGAGAGGGAATGGCAAGGGCCCGTTCCAGTGGCCAAAACAAAGGCTGCACAATGAAGCTTGAAAAGACCATCTAGGAAGATTTTTAAAGTCAGGCTGAGGAGAACGATCCAGTAAGTCAGCATTTTCCAAAATGTTTCATTGTATGATGGATTTCGATGATAAAAATGGAATAGAACATTAACATCCGCTCCTAAGGCGAGAAAGTCGTTCTCTTGTGATTCTCTTTCAAGCCTTCTAATTAAGCACAGGAGAAAGTCTTGGTTTGACGCTATTCATCTCCAGCACCTCTCTGACGGCACTGGATAAATTTCCTTCCAGTTCTCCAGACTATAGACCAGGGGCTTAAAGGCTTCCTAGTTAGTTGCCAGTATCCAGCTACAACTTAATAATACCGTTTTGTTTCTCGCTGCTTTAAGTTTCACAGTTATCTCAAAGCAAGTGGTACTGATTTTCAAATACGGAGCAATAGTTTCCTTGTAAAATCATATTTGAGTGAAAGTAAGTGAGACAATTTAGAGAAAAAACGCCAAGGAAACAAGAGTATGGGTAACATGTGGATGTGGCAAAGATCGTGACGTTCGAGAAACACTGCCGTGGGTGTAAGCTGAACCCAGAACGGACTTGGACAGGGCCAGACATTGATTCTGTGTAAAACGGCCTCGACAGGCCACTAACTCACGCGTGGTACACCCCCTTGCTCCCGCGCCAGGCCTCAGTTTCTCCATCCGCAAAGGGGTGGGAGGGCGACCCTGCAGTCGCGCAGACCCGGGGTTCAGTGCCTTCAGCCCAGGCCGCAGGCCCGTTGCCCTTGGCAACCACGGGGGTTCCCGCAACGGTTCCCGCACCCCCGCCAGGGCTCGGCCTCCCGCTCCTCCCGGGCCGCCCCGCTCCTCACCAATGCTCGGCTTTATCTCTCCACGTCAACACGGCCCTCATCGCGGTTTCCCTTACGCCTCAAGCCCCTCCTCCCGCCTCAGTAACAGGCCCTATTCCCCTAACGGCTTTCGTTACTGCGCTACCCTGGCAACACACATGCGCAGTGAGCCTCGTGCGCGCGGCTGAGTTCCAAATGCGCAGGTCTAAATGGAAAGGCTTAAGAAAGAAGCAAAAGCGAAGATGGAACGGGGCCTAGAAGGTGTCTGCGCGACTAGCGCTCGCTCTACTGGTCCGAACGCGCGGAAGGCGGTACGTCTTCCTCGACGAAGGATTTGATTGGCTGAGCCGTGGAAATGGCGCCTGTGGCTGAGGGGGAGGTGAGGGAGCTGCGGTGGGATCTGACGGACATTCACTCTCTTCGGCTTTGGTTTCAGCTTTGCTCTCCGAGCTGAAGAAGCTTTCGCATCTTATTCTGCTCCACTCCTTGGTTGTCGTACCCTCTTGGCCAGTTGCTGCCGCCGGAGACCCCTTGAAGGGCACGGCTAGGATGGAGAGTCCGAGCCTGCGGGACTACGGAGCTGCCCGCTCGGTCACTTCCAGTGAGCGCCTAGACCCAGACCGGCCCAGTGACCTCCGGCAAGTCATTGTCCCCTTTCGGGACTCATTTTCACCAACTATAAAATGGGAGCGGGCTGGGGTGGATAGAAGGCTGGTGGTCCTTTCTAACCTAGGATCGACAGAGCTCGAGACCCACAGGGTTAGTTTACTCGGAGCAATGGCTGTGGCTCAGATACTCTCTTGTGAGATTCAGCCCGAGTGCTCCCTACTTCGTTACCCGAAATGACGAGGGAGGTGGAAGGAGCAGGGAGGTTTTGTGCAAGGGGAGCAAGGAGAGATCTGCTTGGGTTGCAGGGTCCCAGGAAAACCTTGTAGGAGATGTCACGTTAAGCAGCCAGCGCTGCTGACCCCAAAATGGAAGTCCTATAGGAAGTTCCAGAGGAAGCCACAGTCTTGTTTCGAGTACAGTGCTTGTATATGTGAGATACGGGGTTAGGATGATTTATCTACTGATTTGTTTTTTTCAAAATTTAATCCCCAGAACTACCTTTAAGGAAGTATTACCTCCTTTTTACAGGTGAAGAAAGGAGACTTTAAGAGGTTAAGTAACTTGCTCTTGGACGCATAGCTGGTAAATCGCAAGAGCTGCGATTTGAACCCAGTCCACTGACTTTAAAGTTTGTGCTGTTTTCATCAGGCTTCAGTTTCCTTATTCCTAAAATGTGAACTATATAATTTCTTAAGACCCACCCAAACCCCCAAAATTATTAACCCCAAAATACTTCAGAAGAACTTGGTTCTAATTCTAGTTACTAACTCTTGCTTAGTTTCCCTATTTGTAGAAAACAATCTGGGTTAGATACCTCTATAGATTATACAGAGATTTCCAATCATTTTTAACCCATGTTGCAGGACAGAGAGGTAATCACATAGCATAAGACTGGTCCATACTGATTTTAATCTCTCCTATAATCTAAATAGTCCATATGGTTCCTGCTCTGTCATGGATTGAAATTGAATAAGCAGAGGAAAATAAATTTTAAGTAAGCCAATCACCTGTACTTTGTTTTTGTTTTTTGTTTGTTTGTTTGTTTGTTTAGTAAGAAAGATGTTACTCTGGAATTGGAAAGAGTGGGAAAAGATGAAAAGCAAATGATGATAAAAAACAGCAGTGAGTGGAATCCCCTGCTGCAAGAATCCATTGCTTCCAGTCAGATTGGTGGTAGTACAATGACAGAATGCCGTAAGTCTGTCCCATGCGGATGGGAAAGAGTTATGAAGCAAAGGTTATCAGGGAAAACAGCAGGAAGATATGATGTATATTTTATCAGGTGAGCATACAATGTGGTACCGATAGCACAGCCAAATCATTTTATCTAGATAGGTAGCAGGAAAGCATAACAAGAACTTGGCTTTTTTCTATTTTTATCATAACAGCCATTATGGATTCTGTTCTTTGAGTGTCACAGGTTGGTTACATCAAGTGATTTGGGAACAAGTACATACTACATACTTCTACTTCAAATGGGTGCCTTTAAATTTGTAAGTTTGTAAATATTTATAAAATTATACTATCATAGAGAAAACTATTTAGAAGTACCACTTTATCACTTTTTTTTTAAATTTTAAATGACAAATACCCATGGCAGAGAGAGAAAGAGAGTACATGCAAGTGGGGGAGGGGAAGAGGGAGAGAGAGAATCTTAAGCAGGCTCCACGTGGGGCTTGATCATGACCTGAGCTGAAATCAAAAGTTGGATGCTTAGCAAACTGAGCCACCTGGGCACCCCATGCTTTTTAAATTTTCAATGACAAATACCCATAGCAACATTTGGAAATTATTAACTAAAAATCTGAAATGTGGTCCAATTCTTTGTAAAACTCACTTTTATTTACTACCAATAAGTTTTCTTTAATATCATTTTCTAGCCCACAAGGACTGAAGTTCAGATCCAAAAGTTCACTTGCTAAATATCTTCACAAAAATGGAGAGACTTCTCTTACACCAGAAGATTTTGATTTTACTGTACCTTCTAAAAGGAGCATCAAGGCCAGACATAAAGATAACGACATAGCGCCTCTGACATCCCAAATGCAAAATGAAAGGAGCAATTCAAACTGGAACCTCAGGACACGAAGCTGGTGGAGAAAAGGTGTCTTTCCCCTGCCAAGTGGTACTTCGGAATCGCAAAATAGCAGAGGACCATCTAACTTTAAAGAAGATGAGGGTGTTAATGATGTTGACTCCAGAAAGGTTAGAAAGTCCAAACGAAAGGTGACTATTTTAAAAGGAATTCAAATTAAGAAAACCAAAACAGGGTGCCAGAAGGGTCTTCCCGAGTCTACTCAAAGTAATAGGAAAAGAGAATCTGAATATAATAAGGCAGATGCTGAAAGTGAACCTGTTGAGCAAGGAAGTCAGCTTGATAAAACTTTCTCCATTTCTGATGCTGGAGCAAGCAACAAGACCCTCAGTGTAACCAATGAAGAAAAGAGAATTGTAAAAGAAAAATCACTGAGTTCAGGATCAAACTTTTGTTTTGAACAAATAACTTCTGGCATCATAAACAAATTATGTTCAACCGAAGAAGCAGAACACAGCAAGAAGTGTGAGGAAACCTTTTTAGAATCTGAGGAAATAACAAAAGTAGAAGCTGGGGAAAGGAAGGAACATTTGCATACTGACATTTTAAAATGTGGCTCTGAAATGGATGACAACTGCTCACAAACGGAGAAAGACTCTATTTCTGTGAAAATATGTCAAGGTATTCAGAGCGCTGAAGCAGCTGGTAAACATGTGATGAGTTTATACTCCCAGACAGTATATTTCATGCCGGTACCCAGTTAGGATGTGGGAATAGAATGAAGAAATAAGCCCAAATATCAGATATGTCCTACCAGTTGTTCCTAGTACCTCTGTTAACCAATCTTCAAACCCATGGCATAGAGGGAACTGGCTGGCTACTGCCTTGATACCCCCAGCAAAGGAGAATTGTGCCATTAACAGCTGCTACCATCTCTCCCTGGTTCAACAGCAGGGACTCTCCCCGACAGTGCATTCCCTTCTTCCCATCTTCTTTCCAGCCAGTAATATTACAACTTTAGGGAAAATAAAAAAGCTCCACTTGAGAAAAGGTTTGGGGAAGAATCTTGATGTGCATAAACTGGTTGTGAATAGTCAGTGTCTACTCTTTTGCACCCCTTCTGTTACTTATCACTGATGTGTGACTTCCAATTTCATTTTGTACATATCATAGTCATTTTTATCTTCTATTATAATGTAATGCTTCTCTAAAATGCTTTAGAGCTCTAAATAATTCAAAACTGTAATCATATAGTTCATCTATTATTTGTAATATGCTCTTAATACAGAGTTCAGAGCTTAGTAGTTTTGCCTTTATAATACCTCAGTGAATAAGAAATAAAAAGAAGACCTTTTGAGTAGCCCTGTATTATATATTCATTATGCCATTATGGCATAATGAATAACTCCTTTAAAGAAGAAGAATTTTACTTAAAGTCCTATGGGGAGACAGCCTGGATAAATGGTGGAACGGGGTTAGACTTGATTCCTGTTCTCAGCCCTACTCATGGTTTTATGTCTTTGCTGTGCCTGGAATTCCTTTATTTTTAATAGAAGCTGAACCATATATACCTAGGAAGTGCTTCTATATATATACCTTGTGCTTCATATATACGTAGGACAAGCCTGTCCTTTAAAGACTTCAAGCTTCTTAGAATCTTAAGGTTTATGTAGCTTTATTGCTAGTATAATGGGTAAATAAAATATGAAAAACATCCTTTTGTGACCAAATGGAAGTATCCTATTTGTAAAGAAGTCTAGTTCTCAACACCAGGTGAAGTAGCCTTAGTTTAAGAGGTGTCCAATGGAATAGTAAAGATTTTCCCATTGGCTTAGTTGGAAATTGCCAGGTAAACTGAGCTTCAGTCTCCTAATAATAAAAGAGGCTAGTTAATAATTATTTGTAAGAGCCCACAGAAGAAATGGAACTAATAAGAGCAGTTTCCTTTGTTCTCTTTTTTGACTTTATATTAGGCTTTGCCTATTCAAAATAGAATAGCAAAAAACAGCTAATTATCTGGAGAGCTGGATACCTATCCCAATCTATAGTCGATCCCACTCTCATTTTGGGATGGCTGTTTTATTTTATTTTATTTTTTAACTTTTTTATTAAGTAATCTCTATGCCCTGGGTGCCTGGGTGGCTCAGTCAGTTAAGTGTCCAACTTCCACTCAGGTCATGATCTCATGGTTCATTGCTTGGAGCCCTGTGTGGGCTCTGTGCTATCAGCCTAGAGCCTGCTCTTGATTCTGTGTCTCCCTCTCTTTTGGCCCCTCCCCTCCTTGTGCACTGCCTATCTCTCTCTCTCTCTCTCTCTCTCTCTCTCTCAAAAATAAACATTTAAAAAAGTAATTTCTGTGCCCAATGTGAAGCTCAAAAACTCATAACCCTGAGATCAAGAGTCTCATGCTCTTCCTGACTGAGCCAGCCAGACACCCAGGATGGTTGTTTAATTTCTAAGCCTTAGTTTGTTTATCTATAAAATGGAGTTAATAATCCTCACCAGTCCTGTGTTTCACATCAAGAATATTACAAAGTAAAAGGAGAAGTGAAAAAGATGGCTCACGCTATACAAATGGCAAGATATTATTAACAGACATTCAAATTTAGAGGGTAACCTTATGGAGAGTATTAAATGTGATGATTTTAAAAACTTGGGAAGCCCAATAATGCTGGTCAAATGGTCTTTCTTAAATTAACCGAGCTTCCCAGTAGACAATGGTCAGTATTCCAAGGTCCAAATCAGGTTTTTCGGCAGGTTCTGTTTTGTCTGGGTCCTTTCTTTAAGCATAAAGTGTTCACCGCAGAAATTTTGGAAAATATAGAAAATTAAAGGAGAAAAGAACAATTAGCAATAACCATTATACTGGTTTGGTTTTTTACATTCTAATCTTTTTTTTTTCTTTTTTTTTATTAAATTGGGATCATATGTAGAATATTGCGTTTTTATTTAAAAGTTAAGAACATGGGGGAAGCTATTCATGATATCGTCTCAAAATGGTTTAATGACCACATTGTACAAGTATGTCCTAATTTAAAATATTCCATATTCTAATTTTTCAGTACTAAGAACTCTGAGCATGTCTTAGAATACTAGTGTAACACAGTGGTCAAAGTTATGGACTCAGGAGCCAGACTGCCTAGATTTGAATTTCAACTCTGTCACTAGCTGTGTGACCCTGAGCAGTTTACTTAGTTTCTCTGTACCTCCGTTTCCTTATCTGTAAGGTAAAAGTAAATAGTACCTAGCTTGTAGGTCCATAGTATTAAATTGGTTAATTTTTGTAAAGTGCTTTGCTTAGAGCAGTACCTGGCACATACTAAATGCTTTATAATAGTAGTGTGTTATTGTTATTTGTACCCCTGAGTATTTCTTTAGCCTAAGCCATAGCTTCTATAAACAATGTTCACCCTTCCTTTTCAGAAGATACCATTCCACGAACACAAATAGAAAAAAGGAAAACAAGCCTATATTTTTCCAGCAAATATAACAAAGAAGGTATCCCTTTCCCAATCAGAAAATCCTATTTTAAGTCTGTTTCAGATGTTCAGCTCTGATGCAGTGTGTTTGTTTAGCCCTTAGCCCCCCACGACGCAAAGCCTTTAAGAAGTGGACACCTCCTCGGTCACCTTTTAACCTCGTCCAAGAAACACTTTTCCATGATCCATGGAAGCTCCTCATCGCTACTATATTTCTCAATCGGACCTCAGGTTTGTGGATTATTTTAATCTTTATCTTAGAGACAGTGCAATGAGGAGAAAGAACACTGGATTGATTAGGAGCCCTGGGTTCAAGTTTAACTTTGAGTCTGTGTGACCTCAGGCAAGGACTTCTTGCAGCCCTGTAGCTCTTCAGCTATGAGGAAGTTAGACTAGATGACAGCCAAAGCCTTTTTCACACTAAGGAACAGATAGATTGTCATTTATTTTCTACTTCCAAACTAGTTTTGGTCATAGTGAAAATCAGTTACTTAACATTCTTCCACCCTCTGTCATGTGTAAAAGCATTTCTTTTTCATTGAATGCTTTCTTTAATGTCATTGGCACTTTGTGTTCTGTATGCTTTTATACTAGTTATCTGATGACTGGATTATTTGAAAACTAATACCATGCGGGGCGCCTGGGTGGCTCAGTCGGTTGAGTGTCCGACTTCGGCTCAGGTCATGATCTCATGGTTCGTGAGTTCAAGCCCCGCGTCAGGCACTGTGCTGACAGCTCAGAGTCTGGAGCCTGCTTCGGATTCTGTGTCTCTCTTTCTCTCTGCCCCTTCCCCACTCATGCTCTGTCTCTGTCTCTCTCTCTCAAAAATAAATAAGCATTCAAAAAAAATTAAAAAAAAAAAAAGAAAATTAATATCATGCAAGGCCAGGTATCAGCATGATTTAAACTCTTAGCCAAATCAGGGCGCCTGGGTGGCTCAGTCGGTTGAGCAGTTGACTTCAGCTCAGGTCATGATCTCGTGGTTTGTGAGTTCGAGCCCCGCATCAGGCTCTGTGCTGACAGCTCAGAGCCTGGAGCCTGCTTCAGATTCTGTGTCTCCCTCTCTCTGACCCTCCCCCGTACATGCTCTGTCTCCCTCTGTCTCAAAATAAATAAATGTTAAAAAAAAAAAAAATTTTTTTTAAACTCTTAGCCAAATCATCAGGAGTGTTGGTTATTGACTCTGAAGGTGGTTACCAGTTCAAGTAATGGCTTCTCATCAGGGATTTAAAAAGGAAAACAAAAAAACAAAAAACAAAAAACCCTCTGTACGAGATTTCTAGAGAGGAAATACCTGAACTTAAAAACAACCCATCAGGAGGCTTGTAATCACAGTTACTTTTACTTCCCAGGTAAAATGGCAATCCCCGTGCTCTGGGAGTTTCTAGAGAAGTACCCTTCAGCTGAGGTAGCAAGAACCGCAGACTGGAGAGATGTGTCAGAACTTCTTAAACCTCTTGGTCTCTATGATCTTCGAGCAAAAACCATTATCAAGTTCTCAGGTACTTTCCCATATACCCAAAGGAAAGAACATAAACTATGCCTATTTAAGAGAGTCAAACCTTAAACTTTAATGTTCTAAGATGCTATATTAATAGAGGTCATTCAGCTCAAGGGCTAAAAGCATGTAAAAACAATCCACTTGCCCCAAACTACAGTCTCCCACTGATCCAAGCAGTAAATCTTTGCTCAGCACTGGGGCAGGCCATCTAGGAAGGATGAAGAAGTCAGCAAAGCAGAAGGCCCCATTGACCTCAGGGACTTTACCTCTGTCTAGTTAGCACAAAATCACAATGGTTACTAAGTGGCAGGTGAGAGGTTTAGACAGGGGTGTTGTGGGAATTCAGAAGAAAGAGCCATCAGAACTGGGGTTGTTAGGAAAGACTCTTTGCTGTCCCTTCCTGCCCTTCTCACCATCCAGCTCTGCATCACTACATATTTGGGGAAAGTATCTTTTCTAGAAGCTGACCTGATAAGTGAGGTTTTATCTTTGCAGATGAATATCTGACAAAGCAGTGGAGGTACCCGATTGAGCTTCACGGGATTGGCAAATATGGCAATGATTCTTACCGAATTTTTTGCGTCAATGAGTGGAAGCAGGTGAGGCCCACCCCCAGCCATAACATCTCCAGCACATTTTGTCTCCGACACAAAATACACCCATCCAATAGCCAAAACTATTTCTTGGGCACATGTGCTGCCATCATCACAACTAGTTTTGTTCCAGGCTTGAGGGGCAGTGGTGGCTTGGGGCTGTTGGCAGAAGGGAGAGGATCTGTAGACACTCCCACCTCCGTAAAGACTCCTTGGTGTGGCCCTCTGACTGACCTCCAGCAGTTTATCACTTCTGGCCCTGTAATGTCATTCCCATTCATGTGTGGTCTCTAAGCCTGATGTGGTTCTTCTCCTGTCATAGTCATATTAGCCTTCAAAAATGACACCACTGAAGGAAAGCAGGCAGGTTTGGACTTGGAATATATGCTTGTGGGGGTTTCTCCTAGTGGTCCCAGACTGCTTTAACAGCAACTGGGCCCTACTTCAGCTACCCATTCAAATGAGTGTCCCCTGTCCACAGACATCCAGCGGGTGTCCTGGCAGCTGGTGGGTACTGCCAGGTGGCGTGGTACACTGCCCTCTTAGTCTGTGACTCACCCTGAAGCATTCAGCCAGTAGATCTGGCTAAGCCCATCCCTGCTCCACCATTTATTGTGATAACTCTCAGGGTCTATAACCTTCTCCTGAAAAATGGCCTATTAATACTTGACTCATGTTGTCCCCAACCCACGTGCTAGGTCATGTTAAAGATCAGTACTAAATTGGAAAGTACTTTGTGAAGGATTGCCTTAATGTAAGATAGAGTTTTAAGCACTCATGAATCTAATTAGGTTAAAGGTTATAATTTGCAGGAATATTACAATAAGGTATTGTTCCCCTACTGTACCTTTGAAAGGCCCATTTTAAAAATGTATTTCTGACTAACTTCTGTCTCCTAATGTGTTGTATTTCTTCCAGGTGCACCCTGAAGACCATAAGTTAAATAAATATCATGACTGGCTTTGGGAAAATCATGAAAAATTAAGTCTGTCTTAAAATTGTTTGAAGTTTTCAAACTCAGTTTTTATACCTTACTTTGTACTTAAGTAAGTTAAGAGCTCCATTAAGCACAGGCATATAGATTTTAGTCCAACTAGAAACATGATACAGGTTTTCTTAATATGTGTAACACTGGTAGATCTTTGTTACTGAATGTACTAGAACATGTTTTGAGATTTTTTAAAAAATAAATTATGTGACAAGAAACCTAAAAATGTAAATGACTTTTCCAATAATAAAATATGATTTGAAGTTGAAAAAAAATCTTTGTCAACTCTCAATTATACAAAGCAGATTTCTATCAATCTTGCTTAAGGAAAGATTAGACTTTCAGTTCTCTTTCAATAAAAATGAAATTACACAGTTGTTATGTAGGAAGCAATCAAAGAGTTTGCAGCCAAAAATGTAAGAAAAGATATTACAGGGTATAATAGGCAGCTAATAATAGGCAATTAGTCTTTTTACTAAAAAAAGATAACAGTAAGTTACTTTTGTCATCATGTGTTCTTGATGACTCTGTGCTAGCTTTTAGTAATTAGAGATTGGACCCCAGCATCCAATTGATAACCTGTGATTATCTGCCTGCCATTTTGTTTCAGAGTATCAGCTTCTGGCTCATGCACCTTGACCCCATTGTTAAAGTTTTTAAGTTTTGTGCTGTTCTTAATACAGGCATCATAATGTAGCACAAATACTGAAACGTTTACCTTAGAAAGAACTCACCAAGCAACAACAACAAAAAAATCCCAAGTCACTAAGTCTCAATTACCAATTGCCATTTTAAGGTATAATTTGAAAACAAAATTGATTGAATAAATGAAAAATAAATTGTTAGGGAAACTACCTTTGTTGTAGGGTGGAATATGCTGCAGGGCTAGTGGGTTGTTTCCACATTAGTGAGCCAGTTTTAGTTTTTAGAGAGAGAGTTGAATTTTGACCAGAGAATGGGAAAACTGCCCACATCCCTGCCACCCCCCAAGGCAAACATCCATTTTATAGTGTCCCATTACATCTTTATTTAACAAACCTCAAAGTAGCATTTACTAAGTGCAAAGCTCTGTGCTGGAGGACAGATGAAAAAAGATGAAAAGGTTCTGTAGAGCCTTTTCTGTAGGTGCCTGGCTGGCTCAGTAGAGCATGTGATTCTTGATCATGGGGTTGTGAGTTTGAGCCCCATGTTGGGTGTAGAGATTACTTAAAATCTGGGGGCACCTGGGTGGCTCAGTCAGTTAAGTGTCCCACTTCAGCTCCGGTCATGACCTCACGGTTTGTGGGTTCGAGCCCCCGCATCAGGCTCTGTGCTGATAGCTCAGAGCCTGAAGCCTGCTTCGGATTCTGTGTCTCCCTCTCTCTCCCCCTCTCTCTCCTCCCTGCTCCCACTGTCTCTGTCTCTCTCAAAATAAATAAACTTAAAAAAAAAATAAATAGGGGCACCCGGGTGGCTCAGTCGGTTGAGCATCCGACTTCTGCTCAGGTCATGATCTTGCGGTCTGTGAGTTCGAGCCCAGTGTTGGGCTCTGTGCTGACAGCTCAGAGCCTGGAGCCTGTTTCAGATTCTGTGTCTCCCTCTCTCTCTGCTCCTCCTCCGCTCATGCTCTGTCTCTCTTTCTCTGTCAAAAATAAATAAACATTAAAAAAATTTTGAAATAAATGCTACATTAACGTGACTCATAGGGATGGTCTGAATGACAACCTCAGGTTGAGAGGGTCACAGAGATAATGCAATTCAGTGAAGGTGGTACTTTATGCAGAATAAGCACTCAAGTGTTTTTTTTAACTTCTTTCATTGAGACAATTCACATAATCTAAAATTCATCACTTAATTATGTTTAAATATACAATTAAATGATTTTCCGTATGCTGACAATGTTCTGCAACCATCATCACTAATTCTTAAGACATTTGCAACGCATTAAGAAGAAACTCCATGCCTGTTAATAGTCAAACCCAAAGCCACACACCTCACCTCCAGCCTCTGGCAATTATCAGTCTGCTTTCTGTGTCTATAGATTTGCCTATTCTGGGCATTTCTTACAAATAAAATAATACGTGACCCTTTGTGTCTGGCTGCTTTCACTTAACGTAATGTTTTGAAGGTTCATCTGTGTTGTAGCATGCATCAGTGCTTAACTCTTTCTTGTGACTAATATTCCATTGTGTGGATAGAGCATGTTTTGTTTATCCATTTATCAGTTGATGGACATTTTAACTTTAATATTCCTGGTATCAGGTTCTCTATTTCCAAACCGTGGCATCCTGTCATTAGGGTCAATGCATATCAAAAACACAGGCCTCTTTTTGGCCAAGATTCTCTTGGGTTCCTACAATCCCTCCGGAGGAGGCAGGGCCTCTTCCTTGGATGAAAATGAAATATGTGGAGACCGGCTGAAGATGGTACAATTTTCAGGAAAACCTGTGATTTATTCCTCCAGATTCAGGGGCCACTGGGCCATACTAAGAATCCTGTCTTTCTCCAAGCCAGGAATTCTGCCCCGCTGCGACTGCCTCCCAGGACCCACAAAAGGAACAGGACTCTCAGGCAATCGGGAGTGGGAGGGTGCTCCCCCGTACCCGCCTCCGTCCCACAGACGGCAGGAGCGTGGCAATGCTCAGCCAATCAGCGCAGGGCGTCTGTAGTCCTGGCAACAGTTGCTTCTAAGCTCGGGGGCGCATTGAGTGTTTCTTGCAAAGTTTGGAATTACTGTTTTTTGGTACCCTGACACGCCAGCAAAAACCAACACAGACACACACACGCTCTTCAACACCCGCTCCCGACGCTGCGACCATGGAAGATTCGTACGAAACGTCTGAGGCTCTGTACCTGTCGCTGCTCGGTAGGTTCCCGGGAAGCAGCGCCGCCTCCAGGAAGCCTTCAGCCCCGTGCAGACGCGTGCAAGTGGGGTGAGGGCAAGCACGGGAGGCGAATATCTCATTGTGCCGTACTCTCTCTGGGTGAGGGGTTGCCAGGGGGTCGGGGGCGGGTCGTGCACATTTCTCAGATTTCCATTCCCAGGCTGGAAGAGTGGGCCAAGTTGCCGTGGTCTGAAATCAGGGGTCCAACCCGTGTGCCTGGGAAAGGCATCCACGGCCCTCTGTCTCGCCCGCCGCGCCCCACTTCTCCGCCGGATATTAATGTGCTGGGTACTGGAGAAGAAGCATGGAGAAAACCAGCAGTGTTTGGTGATAGCCTGCTGTGGGAAAACCCTGCAACTTCAGAGGTGAAGGATAGGCAGATAAACGCATAATTACAGAAGAAGGGGTGGATGCCAGGTCTGGGGGTGACACCCAGAAATAAGAGGTCTGCTAAGTGTAGTGGACAGGTAAGAACAATTCTAAGGTTCTGGAAGAGCTCTTTACACTTCGGCTTAAATTAAGGATATAAAGAGTTCTCCATGCCAAAAAGGGGAGGAAAGGCATTCCAGGCCAATGGAAGCACATGCAGAGAAGCTCAGAGATACGGTATCTTCAGGAAACTGCTAGTAGTTTGAGCATTGCCGGGGATGAGAGGTGAGAGAGGTCAGAAGGGACAAGATCATGAAAGATCTTGGGAGGTAGGAGATGGAGAAGCTACTGGAAATGGCAGTATTGGGATTGGGATTATCAGCAAATGCAGAATGAATTGGCAGACTTGAAGGCTGAAGCCAGAATCATGAGCTCTTGGGCTGCCTGAAATGTGCACACCAAAGGTACTGAGAGGTGAGGGAGAGTGGCCAGGCTAGAGGGGACTAGGGGGATTTGAGGGCTGACTGAACAGGGAACAAGAAAAGGACAATCAAAGATGATGCTCAGGTTGGTAACTAGGGTGACCTAGAGATGGAGGTGCCTTTCACAGGGATTGGGAACCTACCAGGAGGAACAGGTTGAGTGAGAACAGGACATGGAGGCCAGTGCAGTCTTGGTTGGTTGAGACTGAGATCCTTGTAGGCCATCCAAGTGGAAATACTTTAGGAGTAACTGTATGTAGAAAGTTGGAGCTAATTTCAAGTCATAAATATTGGTATGGGTGTCCTCAGCATATAGAAGACCACAGAAACATGAGAGTAGAGGAGATTGTTTGGAAAAAAGAGGAGGAGAAGAAGAAGAAGAAAAGGGAGAAGGAAGGAGAAGGAGAAAGCCCAGGTATGAACCTAGAAGGCACCAATTTTAAGGGATGGGCGGGAAGAGAGGGCCCAAGTAGCAAGTGGCCAGAGAGGTAGGATGGAATTGAGGGAGAGATTTGAATCAGAGCCAAAATAAACAGTATTTCAAGAGAGTTGAATTGTCTCCAGATACTTGGCGAGCTGTCCCAGGAAAGAGGGAAGGAATGTGTTTTCTGGAGCATCGGTGGGGAAGACTAGGACTAAAGGGTAGAACTTCCAGGGAAACAAAATCTGGGTTAATATAAGGAAGTCTTTTCTAAGAATCAGAATCAGGCATCCACAATGTGAGGAAAGAACGCCCTGTCAACCAGAGGCATATCCAAGCAGAGACAAAATCTGCCAGGGGCATTTCAGGAAGAGATCCCTGACCTGGGAAGGCAATGGAGCTAGTTGGCCTCTGGAAGCTGTCCTCACAATCCCTTGGGAACATTTTCACACAGTCTCTACCCACCTCACTTTTCTATAAATGGATACAGAACCCCAAAGATCACTATAATGGAAGCTCCGTGGTATAGTGGGCATGCGACCTTCAATAGGGGAGTCAGGGTGACTTTGAGGGGAGTGACACTTGGGCTGAGAACCATATGGTGAAAAGGACTCAGCCAACAGCAATCTTGGGGAATCCCATGCCCTTCATAGGGCATGGCAAATTCCAAAACCAAGTCAGGACAGAGCTAGGAGGGTTGGACAAAGAGAAAGCAGGCTCATGCAGCTGGAGTGAAGTGAGCAGAGGGAGGGGGCAGGGAGAGATCAGGGAGGAGCGGGGAGCAGGGTGCCAGTGAGGGCAGTGGTGGGGGCCATTGTAGGAGGGGCTTGTTTATTCTAAGGGCACTGAGAAGCCATTGCAATGAAGCCATTGAAGGGCTTGGCGGGGAGTGACCCTTCTAGCTAAGGGAAGATCATGGATTTGGGGTCAAGGGTGGGCGGAAGTGACAGTGGCAAGGCCAGGGAGGAGCATGTTTTGAGTGTGTTCCCAGGTCAACAGGGTAAAGTTTAAACCCCTTAACCTGGCATTCAAGATGACTCCAGCTTTATTTCCCATTAGTCTCCTCCTTCATGCACAATGTACTTTCAACTTGTGGAACTATTTAGTAACCCCCAAATCCTCAGACTCCACCCCTGACCTTTCCCCACGCTGACCCCTCCACTCTGACTCATTCCTGAAGGCACATGTCAATGCCTCTTCCTTCATGATGACCACCCGACTCTCTCCATCAGCACTTCTCCCCCGACTGAGGGCATACCACTCTGGTTGCCCCACCTTGTTCCATGCCAGGGCTCTGCGGTTGGGTTTCCAGCCTCGTTTGGATCTACTGGATGATTCTCAGTAAATGCTGGTTGGATAAATGGCTACATTCTCAGTTGTACCCAGCATCTTGTTCTCAAAGAAATGACACATGGCTTGTTGAGAAGTGCTCACTTCCGTCCACTTTGATGTATTATTTCCTGGCACATTATTTTCTGACCATGAAGGAAAAACACAGGCATTGTAAGGAGGCTTAACAAATGGACTGAATGGTCACTTTGTGCCAGGCTGGGCACCAGGGATACATGGGAACTAAGACACAGTCCTTGCCATTGGAAAACTCACAGGCTATTGGGAAAGAAAGACCCAGAAAGCATCTTCATCCAGAAAAAACATGGTAAATGCTATGATGGGGTTGAGCACGGGGGCTATGGGAAACCAGAGGGGATATGAGGGAGGGGGTGGGAGGGCTTCAGGGGATGGTGATGCCTGACCTAAGTCTCCAAGAGCATTCCAGAGAGAGGAAACAGCACGGGGGCAGGATGAGGTGACCAAGGAACCATAGTCAGCTCAGTTTGGGTACAAATACAGGGTGAGGTCAGAAAGAATAAGAGAAGGAGCCCATTAGGCTGGCAGAGGTGGGTGTGTCAGGTGAGGCCAGGTTAAGGAGACTGAATTTTATTTCGGAGGCAACAAAAGGGTTTTAAAGCAGAGGGGGTGTGGGTTTTAGAAGGGGAATGATGGTGACAATACTTTTAATAATAATGCTATATCCCTTCTGAATTTTAGAACACTCACATATCTGTTATTCATTTGATCTTCATAACAGCTTCAGGAGGTACTTAGAACAGAGTTTATCATTTTAGAAATAAAAGAACTGAGACTCAGTGGGATTAGGTGGCAGCCTGTGGTCTTATCAATTAATGGCTAAGAACAAAGCTCTGGGGCCAGGCAAACCAGAATTCGTATCCCAGCTCTGCTACTAAACCACCGTGCAACCTTGGGCCTCTCTGGGCCTTAGTGCCCTTCTCTGTAAAGTGGTATAATCATAGAGCTGATCTCTATGATGTCAAATAGTCTGTCCACTTGACATCCACTCATTCGCCAAATAATTACTGAGCTCCCACTGTATGTTGGCACGTGGAGGTGCTGGGGCTCCAGCAGGCAACCAGAGAGAGGAGGTCCAGGTCCATAATCTATTGAAAAAATAAACACCAACCAAGTAATTATACCAGAGATTTCAAACACAAATGTCTGCCTAAAGCAGGCACTTAATAAATGAACTGAGCTGCATGTAAGACAATGCAGAATGGGGGCACATGGGTGGCTCAGCTGATTGAGTGTCCAACTTCAGCTCAGGTCATGGTCTCCTGGTTCGTGAGTTCAAGCCCCTCTTTGGGCTCTGTGCTGACAGCTCAGAGCTTGGAACCTGCTTCAGATTCTCTGTCTCCCTCTCCCTCTCTGCCCCTCCTTGCTCTCTTTCTCTCTCTCAAAAATAAAAATTAAAAAAAAAAAGACCATAGAGAATAATTTGGGACTACAGCAAGCTGGAGAGGGCATGCCCTAGCCTAAAGTAACTCAAGGTGGAAAATTTTGACCAATGCGTCAAATGAAACAGGACCCCAAGCCTCATTCACCACGAGGGTCACCATTTGCAGCCCCCAACTTAAAACCCTGTGATAAGTTTTAAGGGGATGGAGGGGGGAGGGAGCATTCTGGCAGATAGAACAACACATGCAAAACCTTTAGGCGGGATGTGCTTGGACCATTCAGGGATCATTCAGGGTCAAGGCGTGTGGGACCTGTAAAGAAGGCTAGGCAAGGGATGAGGTAGGAAAGGTTGGCAGAGGAGGGATGTTATGTTGAGGGCCGTGGAAAGTGATAGGAGGGTTTCAAAATAGGCGAGGAGCAAGTCCATTAAAAAATAACAGTGCACTTTACCATGAACAAAGCAGCTCTAAGATGGGCTGATTCTAACCATCTCCACCACTCAGTAAAGTAGGTACCATCTTTACCCCCGTTTTACACATGAAAGACTGAGACGGAGAGCCTAAGTGACTTACCCAAGTACATGCAGCCACTAAGCAGCAGAGCCAGGACGTGGCTGAAGCATTCCAGCTTCAAAGCCTCTGCTCGGATGATGAGACCAGATCAGGATGCCATTTTTTTAAAAGATCATTCTGGGGGCACCTGAGTGGCTCAGTCGGTCAAGTGTCGGGCACTTAATTTCGGCTCGGTTCTGCGTCAGGCTCTGTGCTGACAGTGGGGAGCCTGCTTGGGTCTCTCTCTCTGCCCCTCCCCCCACTCCCTCTCTCGCTTTCAAAATAAATAAATAAACTTTAAATAAATAAATATATATATAAATAAATAAATTCTGATTGTCGATAAGGAGCCTTGGGGTGAGGGTGGGGTGGAGTGGAGGAAGAGTAAAATCTGAGAAGGTTAGACAAGAGAAAACATACAAAGACCTTAGCATAATGCCTGCCATCAGGAATGCGCAATCATATTAGGTGTGATTATCTTCATCATTATAGCAAAGCAATGATAACGCCAGGCCTGGGAACCCAGCCTGGTGCTGTAGCATTTTTCCTTCCTGACTCCGTTAGTCCTCTTCCTGAAAGAAGCTCACCTCTTAGCCCTCTTTCCCCAAGGGCTCTGCCAGTCTGAGACCTCAAGTGATGACGAAAATGCCAGCAAGGGCCCCACCTTCGATCCTGAACTGGTCATCACCCACTGCTTCAAGCAGTTCAAGCAGGAGGACTTCCACCTGCCTCAGAGCCGCCGGCGGGTCATCATCTTGCCTCAAAAAGAGGCTCCAATGCCCATTAATCTCATGGCCCAAACCCAGACTCCCCCACAGCCGATCTCCAGCTTCCAAGCCCTGGGAGCTGGGGACATCCAAGGCCAGCCAGACGACGTGAGGACCTGGCTGAGCCGGAGGCTGAAGCTTCGCCAGGACCTGGAGTCATTTGGCAGCGTAGAGAGGTGGCTTCAGAACAAGCCCAGCCTCACACCTTCAGAGGCCAAGGTCTTGCACATGATCCAGAAGGAGCAGGAGGACCAGTTGTTAGACCACCTGACTACTATCAGAGCCACCAAGGTGAGTAGCCCCATTTGCTTATGAAGACGCTGAAGGTGTTAGGGGCATGCTGTCCTTTCATTCCCTCAGATTAGTCAGGATAGGGGTCATTCACCTCATTTCCAAAGGGAGCAAAGAGAAGCCCCCAAAAGGAGGTGTATGGGGTATTTATTGCTGCATAACGAATGCCCCCAAACATTAAAGCAACAAATGTTGATTACCCCCACTGTTTCGGAGAGTCAGGCGTCTGGGAAGAGATTAGCTGGTGGCCCTCATCTCAAATTGTTGGCTTGCGCCATAGACAACTCAAGGCTTGACTGAGGCAGGAAGATCCGCTTCCAAGCTAGCTTGCTCACGTGGCTGCTGGCAGGGGGCCTCAGTTCCTGGCCACAGGGATCTCTCCATAGGGTTGCTTGAGTGTCCTTATCACATAGCAGCCAGCATCTCCCAGAGCGAATGGTCCAAGAGACAGAGCAAAGAGGAGGCTGCAATGCCTTTTATGACCTCATCTCAGGCAACCTGAGTTTCAGGAGAACCACGTTATCATTTTCACCATATTCTATTTGTAAGAAGCAAGTCACTAAGTACTGTCCACACTCGAGGGGAGGGGAATCAGGCTCCGTCCCAGAAGGGAGGAGTTAAAGAATTTGTGACTATATCTTAAAACCACCCTAGGAGGGATAACTCCTGGAATGCCATCTATGGGGCATTTTAAAAATATGCATTCTTCATTCATTTGTTCACTGACACGTGTTTGTTGAGGGCCTATATGTGCCAAGCAGGTGCTCGTGGTGGTACCGTGAGGGTCACAGTTGTGAGGCTGGAAGAAAAAGGAGGACTCCCTTTTATAAATACAGAAATAGAGGCTCAACGAGGCCGATAAATTGTCCAGCCCCATAGAGGTAGTCGGTGGCAGTCAGTACCAAAGCCCTTGTCCCCCAGTGCTCACCTCTCTGTGACATTTTCTGGTAATGGAAACACTTGAAATTTCTCCCAGTTCAGGTGAAGTTGGGATAAGAGATCAGATAACGTGGGTTTAAACCAGCTCTGCTATTTCCTAGCTGTATGATCCGGTCCTCAGTTTCCCAATCTATTCAATGAGGATAACCATTGTACTGACTTCCTAGGGTTGCTGTGACTTCTAAATGGAGTAGGTGCCTAGGACAGTGACAGCCATATAGTGAGCACTGAATATTACGTTTGCCATCACAAAATTTTTTTTTAATATTTACTTATTTCTGAGAGAGAGAGAGAGAGACAGAGAGAGAGAGAGAGA